CCTGTCAGGTGAATTTACTCTATTATTTGTTGAGTCCTCTTCACAAACGTTTGATGGTTGAAACAATTTGAGGCAACTTTCGGCATTCTTTTATTAACTTCCACCGGTGCATATACTTCTTTTCATGCCTTAATCAATGAACCATCTTGCTCCAATTCGAGTCAAACTGACTAAACTCCGTTGTTTGCTTAGATGGAAAACGATAAACTGAAAAGTCTATCCGTGACAACGGCTCAAGCTAAAACTGATAACAGGTGATCACACGAAATCTGTCAAAAATTTACAAGCTTATTTATTAATAATTAATTACTGCTAAATTGCCTTAAGATCAAACAAGATTGATAAAACACTAGCATAAAGCACCAGTAATCTTATGAAATAAGATATTATAATTTTGTATAAGTTGAAACTTGTAACACGAACTCTTGCAACTTGAATTTATTAAATAAGTCTCAAACTCCAGTCTCTAACTTTTCCCCTATTTTGAAATATAAAAATAAAATTTGCAATGAGTAAAATGCCATGGAATAATGGATGAACTTTTGCGAATTACTTACAATGTAAAAGTCAATGAAACAATTGTTATCAGTAAAACTTTTTATGTTGGTAAAAAAAGTTTCATAACAATTGCGTGAAACATGAAACATGATTATTTTCTGACAAAGTGAATGTTCAATGTTTTAAATTTTATCTCTTTTACAAAACTCATGTATTGCTGTTGCAATAAAACATACTTTTTGTTTTGTACCAACTACAACAATTTGGCTTTTGCTTTTTCTTTTGCTTTTGCACAAACCAATGAAAGATGAAACAACAATACGACACTTTCAACCAGTTTTTGGTTCTTTTTTTTCTTTTTCGTTTTTTTTAATATAAACTCAATTAAATTAACATACCAGACTCTTTGCTAAAGCAAATGTTATTCTCGTTCAATGTTGAAATGCCTTTTTGACTCTTGCACTGTTTTTCTGCTTTTCCATCTTTTATCTTGCAATACTTTTTGCTTCTGTTTTTCACCCTCAAAATCATGTTGCTAGACCTAAACCTAATGGCTGTCAATTTTACCCTCATTAAGTTTCAACCTTTGATATTCAATTTCCAGATGCCACAAAATCAGCCCACTTTTTTAAGGTTACATCTCACCATGTTCATCATCATCATCATCTTTTCCTCATTCATTTTTCTCTCTCTTCTATCGTCATCTTCATCATCTAATTTTGACAACATGAATTGCAAATGTTGAGTTGAAAACATTTTTTTCACTTCTCTTGAGAATGATACTTTCCAATTCAACAAGAAGTCAATTTCAAGTTGCAGTAAGAAATGTTGATCAAGTTGAATATAATTGTAAATGATAATCTCGATAAACTTGATTTTGTAAAGTGACTTCATCTAGACGTTGAACTTTTTTCGGTTTGCGATTAAAGATTGAAATTTCGATTCGAACATGCCTTGAGGTGAGAGAAAGTATCCAAAGAGTTAGCATTGAGCTATTAAACTTTAATGCTTTCTGTTGATCACCAAATGGATTGATAAAAAAATGAGATGAAAAATGATTCAATAAATTGTTTCCATAAATTGAATGAATGTCAATGTTAAGCAATGTGGAAACATTAAATGAAATGATGAAAATTGCAAGTGAACAAAGCAGAAAGAGTGAGATTAAATGAAATAAAAAAAGTGCAAAATAAGATGAACAAGTTGCAGAATTATTTGGCAAAACTCGCAATAAGGGTCAATTGAAAAGTGAATTGAATTGAAAGGGCAAGAATCAAGTTGATAACTTTCTCCTTTTTTCAACTTTTACTCTGGTTGATCACATTAGCAAGCTAGGTTCATGAATGTCATGGACTACAGAAGAGAACAAGTTTGAATGGCATTAAAAGAATTGGTCAAAACAAGAGAATCAACAGAATTAATAAAGATCAGTTGAACTGAACAAGAAGGAAAGCAAGATAATGATAACCAGAATAGAAGGTAAAATATCAAAGTAAATTGAATTGATTTTGATTTTTCGAATCAAGTCAAGAAAAAAAAGTTGTTCAACTTCAATACTTGTCATTCCCAATACGCTCAATAATATGTTCAATAATTTTCTTGCTCGACTTGTCATAATCTGAGTTCATCTTTTGTTCAATACTTTTGTTGCACCAAGCGTTTGATTTTTACCTTCAAAGTTGAATATCACATCCACGAGGCCATTCAATGCTATTGGTTGCATTCGAGTTTTACATTTGTTGGAAAAAAGTTCAGCAACGAACATTGATTTTGTTAACGAACAAGCAAAGGTATTGAGGTCACACTTTATTTTCACAGCAATACTTTTATCTTTCCGTCCGTAATTTGTGAGCCTTTCTCATTGATCCACACTTACGATTGAATCATTTTCCAATTTACCAGTGTGTAAATGGTTTAATAATGATGTTTATAGTCGATAATGATGTTGATGGTAAAAGTTAGTTGTACAAAAAAAGTAGATTCAAAAAGATGAGAAAAAAAGGGTTTCCAGAAAAAGGTGTTGATGATGAGCTTGGTTGTTTATAATGAATGGTTCAAGACAATATGGTAATCAATCTTAACTAAAGATGAATCTAGAGTCAACCGGAAGGTTAACTATTCCCTGTTTGCTTCATTTCATCACAAACATCTCAATTTGCATTCTCTTGCAAATTTACATCCAACAGAGTTGATCATTTGTCAGGCAAAAAAGGAACACAAAGTAATGCAAAAAAAGCATTTCTTCTCCCGTCAACTTTTCCTTATTGAACACTGGTAAGCAGACAGACACTAGTTCACAGTAAGATGCAACTTGCATAAGCATTTTTTACACTCAAAATCGTTATTCTGTTAATGTTTCAACATGAATTTGCACATGAATCGTCTTTTTGTTTCATCTCTTGTAAAGGGCAAAAGTTGCGAAAAAATGTTACAATAATTGATAGAGTTTGGTAAAACATTTTCCTCATTTTGATCAACTTGATTTCACTCTATTACACCAAACAGTCTAATGAAATGAACATCTCAATAACTCGGAGAATCGAAGACTTTTCTCATTAAAAGATTTACTTCATTGTTTTTGCATTCTTCAAAGCATTTGATTTTTCCCTTTTGTTGCTTTACTTTGCCAACAATTTTACCTATCAGTGTGTGCAAAGGCCAACCTCGGTGAATGCAAAAAATGCAAACAATCCTTGGAAGCATAATTGAAGCTCTAATGAAAACCACAGTTTCAATCAATCGATAGAACTAAAGGTGAATGGAAAAATCCCAATTTTCTCGAAATAGTTTTACCATTAACTTGCTCTCCTGTAACTTGCATGATGAGCAATGGAATGAAATGCATGAAACTATTTTTACTCAAAGTAGAACAAGCAGAACTGAAAACAATATCAATTACTGTTGCTTTCCTGAGTTTGTTGTTGAAATTTGGTGGAAATCGATTCGACGAAAAAGCAAATATTTTTTCTTCTCAAAAGTTTCAGAACAAGAATTTTTTTTTAAAGTTTTTCATGATTTTTTCCTCTCTTCACAGAGGCCATAATTTATCTGAAAAGAATATGAAAATCAAATTGAATTCATTGAAGAGGTTTGAAATTACAATTTGGTTCAACATTTTTATATCTTGATATTGATATATTATACCGATGGGCTTGCAATGAAAGTTAAAAATCGACTCTTTTGTCAATAAAATGTTTTCTTGGCTTGTAAGCAAAGTGTTGTCGAAAGATAACAAGAAAAATATTAGCAATACTTTATTTTGCTGCTGGCACCTCACATTTCGTGTTTTTCTCAAAAAAAAATCTAATTCTATTTGGAATAAAGTTGTGAACATTTCAGGTTCGAGCATGAAACAGCTTAATATTGTTGATGCCATGCAACATGGAAAAGAAGTGAAAACTGTATTGGAAACAATCATTACTATCATCATCGAAAATGTATAAAACAAAAGACTACAGAGTCGAACATTTCCGAGAAAAAAAGTTGTCTCAGAGTAGGACTTTTGTGTGCTCCAATTGGGCTGACAGTTATGGACTTTCCTAACAAGTCGCCCTTCACTAGTAAAATGATTGGCCAGGTAAACTGAGTTATCACTCAATTTCAAGGCAAATTCTCCCTCAATATAATCTTTTTGTTTTATACATTTTCGATGATGATAGTAATGATTGTTTCAATAATGTTTTCACTTTCTTTCCATGTTGCATGGCATCAAAAATACTAAGCTGTTTCATGCAGTCAAATCTGTTTGAAGCTCGAACCTAAAATGTTCATAACTTTATTGCAAATAGAATTAGAATTTTTTTGAGAAAAAATATTATATTTTACTATTTCTAGTCTTTCTTTTCTTTTCTTTTCATCTGAATATCTTTATTGTGAAGTTGCTCAAGAAATTTGGTTTAACAGGGAATGAAATTTTCACAAAATAATATCTCAAAAAAGAAGAGAAGAAATGATAAAAAAAGAATCGATGATAAGCCAGCATTCGATGAAAATTCGTGTCTGTTGATTCGACTTATATTTTCTCTAAGATTCAGTTTCTCAATCCATCTCTCTTTTGTTTTCAACTTGTTACTTATCAATCTAGTGTTGAACCATGTTTGTCCTTTAAGCTGAGTATTAATGGCCGTTAAACTGGAGCAGCAAAAAAATGTTTCTTTCCATTAGTACAACTTGCTCGACTCAAAGTACACTGTTAATCATGAGATTATTTTTGCATTATTATTGTGACAAGAAACTGGTTAAACTTGAAAATGTAATGACAGTTTGGGTCAATTTGTTGGACGACTAAACTTGATTTGATTGTAATAACAAAAATCGCTTATCCAGGAAAAGAGGAAAGAGTTTAATGCAACATTCGTTAACAAGTGATTCTAATGTCACTTTAATGAGCAAAGCAGAACTTGATTCTGGCAAAATTTAGCATCGAACTTGCAACTTTCTAGTTTCTAGTCAACCTTTTTTTCCTCATTTGTTTAAGTTGAGTTTGAAATGTTTAAACTTACGATTAACTTTGATGGTTGCTTTGTTGCTGAAACCTTTACCCTCAATGTTGACAGCAAAACATGAATAATCTCCAGAATGATTTTTTTGGGCAACTTTAATGACCAAAGTTGTATTATCAATAATTATACCTGTTGCAGGGGGAAATGGAACAAGAGATTAATTTCATTTTCATGTTGAGTTTGTTTCAATGCTTACCTCGTCTTTCATCAGGCAAAAGCGGTGATTCATTAAAAAGCCAACCAATCTCTTGGATAACAGGATTGGAATCGATGATACATTCAAATATAATCTCATCATTTTCGTTAATCTCACTTGGATGACTTGATAAGCGTAGGACAAGTTTAACATTGGGTTTATCTTGAAACGAGAATGGAAAAAAAGAAAAAGAAAATTAATCGAAATTCGAATGTACAGAATAACAAAATTTTGATCAACAAGAATCATTAAAATCTTTCTTTTTGTATGAATTTCTCATTTCGAAAAGTGAAATAATCAAAATGTTGACATGAAATTTTGCTCAGCATTTGAAATTGTTTACAGAATCATATTCATGGAAAGCATGATATATGAGAATGTTGCCATTTATTACTTGTCATTTCACATTTGGATAACTTTTTCGCTTCCATTTTACCTGAATTTTTCATGAGAAGTAGAAATTTTCTGTAGTCATTTCATGTTGCAAATGAAAATATTGTTTGCAATTGTAAAGAAGAAAAAGTTTTCACTAGTTTCTCGGTAAACAAATAAAGAATAGAATCAATCATTTCTAGTTTGACTAAATCTTTAGATGAGTCTATTTCTGGCTGTTTTCAAGGGAAAACAAAACAAAGTCTTGAAAATAAATCTTCAATCTAGACTAGAGACTATCAAAATATTGTTCAATTGATATTGAAATGTCAGTCTTCAAGTCAAGGTAAGTTGTAGTTATCATTTGGCTTTGGACAAGTTAAAGGATTACTGAAAGTTTCATTGTTAAAGATTACATTCAAGATGAAAATAAGTTCGAGTTTGGACCATTCATTGTTAGGCACTTTGTTGGAGTTAAAATAGAAACTTGGAAATTCTTGCAAAAACTATTACCATTAGAAGAAACTTGCATGAAACAACAAGCAATGTTTCTAAAAAAAGCTCAAATTCTTCTTCATTCCAATACCATTTAGAAATATCAAGAAAATTCTTCTTCACAAACATCGAATCCGATAACTTCCCAAAAATATCCATGAACAGTCACTTCAATAGAAAAGGCTAGAATCTCGATTTTTCGAAAATTCAAATGATTGACGTTTGATGCCCGAAATTGAGATTTTTGCGGTTCTTTGAGCCAAAAATTTGTAATCGTTTGAGGTTGTTTCACTTACAATAAATATTGAGAATCCAATCATCTTTGATTGAACTATTTAAAAGGCGCGAGTTTTCGGCTTTACAGGTTAACAAGGCTCCATTGTCTGCAGGTGAAGGCACGAATTTCAATATACTTGAGCTACTGGTTGATCCATTGATTACTGAGTTGGTTTCCCTGAAAGCAACAAAAGTGGCCAGAATTAATTACATTTTACACTTTTCGCATCAACATTGAAAAAGCAAATGAACAAGATTATCAATGAATAAAAGGGCGGAAATTTTGATGAAAACTCTTTTTCTGTTGAAATTCCATTGTTCGTCTGTAAACATTTTAACCTCAATTAACCTTGCCTAATGGCCAGTGTAAAATTGCATAAAAATGGATTATTAAAACACTTTGTTTTCTTGATTAGCATCATTAAAATTTTCCAACTTTACAGTAATTATGAACAAATAATAACTTTATGGAAATGATTAACTGTTGGAATAAACATTTGATCGTATTTTACGAAAAAAAAGTTAATTCTTTTCAAAGCCAAACAAAAGTTTTCCAACAAAAAGCCTTTTTACCTCCAAGATTTGAGCAACTGTTGGTTGAGATACCAAGTCATTTTGGCTCCTGGTCGGGATCCTTTTGAATCACATTGAAGTTCAATTGATTTGTCTGCTGAAAGAGGTCGACGTATTGATATGATTTTCACATAAAAAGGATACACTGAAAGGAAAAAGGAAAAGTCGATTAATGTTGATGCAAGAATCTCAAACTCTTTTGCTTACAATTAATGTCTAGAATGAGTGATTTGTTGATTGCCTGAGTTAAATTAGTGTTGAAGGTTTTACAGGATAAAAGTTTATTTAGATCATTTCGTCCCAATTTAGAGATGAACAAATCGTTGATTGTGACGAGTCCATCTTCAGTTACTTTAGAAATGTAAGAATCGTCAATTAAATCTTGATTGAGATACCAATAAACCAGGGGCGCAGGTTTACCTGGTTAAGGGAATGAAGAAGGAAAGAGGAACCATTAGTGACAAAGTGAAGAGCGATAATGAGGGTGAAACAGGAAATGAAAGGAAAGTGTTGAGAAAAGATGAAGACCAAGAAATTATGATCAACTAAATGATGGTTGAAAGAAAAGAATAAGTTTGACGAAAAAAAAAACCATTTATTATCTTGCAATCAAGTTTGGTGTGTTTTGCATCCTTCAATAATTGTGCTGGGAATTGTTGGGATTGAAAGTTTGTTTTGTTTGGTAAATGATTTGCAACAAGAAAAGGTAAGAAGAAGAAGAAAATTTTTGCAAATAAAAGTTGATGGAAACCAATATTTACGCTATTATTATTGTATTTACAACTTTTGTTATTGCTCATTTCACACTTATTTGTTGGATAAATGTTGAATGTTGGAAGCTGAGGAAACTGTTATTATTAATATCGAGTCTAATCGAGTAAATTTTGACTGTTAAATGATGGTAATAATGATGATGAGCTATTTAGTTAGTATTCAGAATCAGTTCAAGTGATCGAAATGGTTGAACCATTGAGCAATCTTGTAATGATATTCATTGGGAAACATTTTTGTTCCAACAATGTTTGAACATTTTCCTTTTGTGGTTCCGTGTTTATTGGGAAATGTTTACACTTTTTTGTATGTATTCTGTGGTTTGAGGTGCAACTTGTATTTAAAATTGAATAAAGTTTGTTCTTTTGAAGAATGAAACTTTTCTTTTCACCATGAAATGTTTTGTCCTTATTGTTGCAACAATCAATCAATTTTGGTTTGCAAGACGAACCATTTCAACTTGTCCAGTTGATTGATAACAAAGATGTACTAAAATCGTTTGCTTTAGAGTTTTCTCGGACAAGAATACATTGGCAGTCAATGAAAAATGTTTCATTTCTTCCTCTTCTTTTGCACAATATTTTTATAAATGTCGAGTCAATGTATTATCAAAAGCCAGTCAACCCAATGTGATGATATTGATGTAATAAGTTTCTTCAGTCTCTTTACACAATCCTTCAACATTTTAGCACTTATTTCATAGTCTAAGAAACTTAGCGTTAAAGTTAACGAACAAGTCTCATTGATGCAAAGAAAAATGAAATCGCATTTAAACCGATTTGGTTTTGTCTTTTGATCACTGTGAATGTGCTTCTGAATTTCAAGGTTTACTGTGCGTTTCAAGTAGAGATTCAAGAAGCAATGAACATAATAAAATGAAGCAAATGGCTAAACATGGGAAATTTAAAACAAAATATTGGATGACAAATGAATGAGAAGACATGAACTGGACTGATAATGATATTAATATGTGAATGTTTTGATAATAAACGACAATTATTGTGAATGAATGTGTAAAGGAAGTGCACTGTTTGTTTTTTTCTTGTTGTCCTTTTTTTGGCCATTTGATTGATGATGACTAAAAGGCAAAATGTTGTTTAGGTCAGGACTTACCAAAGCATATAAATACTAAACTGGAGAAAGACTGAAATGAGTGAAACGAGAATGAAAGTCAAAGTAAAAATGTTGAATGATACAAGTTTGTGGGTTGAACAAGAAGTGAACCTGCAAGGAAAAAACGTGAATCCAACTGAATAGACTGTCCAAACTGATCAACTGTTTCAATCATTTTTCTGCTTCTTCTTTTCATATTTACTCTTCCATAAATGTATTAATGCATAATGTTTGAGAACGAAGCTGAAACTCTATTTAGTCTGGAGCCAAATGAAGTGACCAAAAACAGCAATAACTGGTAATGATTATCATTACATGTCTTTTCATGTAACAATATTATGTACAATCTTGATCCCTTTAATGGTCAACTCAATTAAAAGTGATTGATACATTCAACAGCATCAACTCAATGGACATTCAAAGACAACTCTTAATCAGTCAACCTTTTCCAAGTCAAAGGATGTGAATGGTGAAAAGGGTTGAGGTTGCATCGGTTCATCAATGGATTTTCACTTGATTTACCTTTTACCATTGTTTTGCCTTTAATCAATTCTCATTTACCTTGATCATGTTTTTACAAGATTCACTGACAACTTTCGATTCATTTTTTTCTTCCAATTGATTTTCATCCAATAATGTGGTCAATAATGAATTGATTCAAGTTTTTTCTTGTTCGATATTTTTTCTCTTCTTTTCATTTGCTTCAGTTCAATGTCATCATCATACCATTATCATCAATATAATCCAAGCTAATTCATGGTTGACAGTTATTTTGATTAATACGTTTCATTTGGAAAGGGCAACTGAACAGTGTTTCACTGTACAGCCAACAATTGATCAAAGCTGTTCAATTGTTTTCCTTCTTTTTCCAACATTCAGACTTATCACATTATCCTTTACTATTTATCATCATGCTGATGATAATTTTGATCAGATATTCATTTGCTATTAAAGGGTAAATGAGCAACGTTTACCCATACTTAGTGTCAGCCTTTTCTGTAAACACAAATATTCATGATGAATGTGCAAACCAAGCAAAAGTTTACATGTGAAACTGTTTGAGGCTTGGTTGTTGAGTAAAAGACAATTTACTAGTTAATCAGTTGGTGAAAGTACAAACTGAGAATAGCAAAGTCGAATAAGTAAAAGCTGTGATTAGTGAACAATCATCAATCAGAATCTGTCCTTAAGCGATGCGACTATTTATCGAATGCAAAAGGTAAAACCTTATTTCAAATGACGAACTATGCATTTGCAGATTTGTTTTGCAAATAAAATCGCATTATCAGTTATTTCCAAGCTATAACAGACTTGAACTTGAAGGGGTTTCTAAGGCTGAATGAGTTCGGACAACTTCACCTAATAGACTTTACCATTTGTTGGCTTTTTAGCATCAAGTTGCTATTCAACTTACAGAATCTTGCAATAATAATGAACTCTTTGGACTTTTCTTGAGATAGCTGATCTGAAATCGCTTGGATGTTACAGTTGAAGTTGATACAGAATGCAATTTGTGGCAAACTTTTGCTAAATGCAAAGTGTTATTCATTGCAATTGAACCGTAAACCAATACAAGCGAATGTTTTGAATATGAAATTTATATTCAATTTGCATATTTTGTGCTTCGAACCTGTTCAAGAAACAATTCACCAGAACAGAATAGAACAGAACTTGTTAAGATTAACTAATAAAACATGAAACTGTGCATCTTGCAAAAATAAAGGAAAATCAATCTTAATCAACTCTCAACTAAATCATAATAAATTGATCAACTAATTGACTATTGATTAGTAGGCGATTCATTGATTTCCACACTTTTCTAGTCTTACATGAACATGATCATTATTCATCGCTAATAAAATGTATCGGAATTTCAATTCTATGCAGCATCTACTTCGCTACAACAATAGTCTCACATCATAAGTTGAAGCTTAGCCGTAAGGAATAGAATCGAGAAGAAACTGTGATAAGGTTATTTGAGTGTAAAATTGATTTCACCTGATGAACTTAGCCCTGATTACTCGGTAAACAGAACAAAAGAAGATCAGAAAAATTTCTTTGAAATTCGTTCCAGTTCGCTCATCTGATTGAATCATAAAACCTTTCAAACGATAAATTATTCTTAAACTTTCTTGCGAAACAAAAGTCAAGTTGACCGACCAAGTGGACAATCACTGGAACTTGTTCATCAATTCATTTAAATGGCTTCATATTTTACCTTTCCTTCATTATAAGCGAACAAAATGAATCGAGAAAATGAATAATTCATAACTTTATTATTCACTGAATTTAATTAGATTTCAGTGATTCTTGCCATTTGTGGTTGAATACATTTCTATTGCTACTTGAACACTATTTGAATAGAAACTGTCATCAAAATAGAAATGACAAAGTCGCTGACGAAAATTAGAAAATTGGAAAACTCTGAAATTCGCAATTATCGAAACTCGAAAACTGGCAACTTCTCTTTTGCCAGAATTTGCTAAAGTAACATTTTCCATGGAACGATTTATTCCATTCAACTGTTTACCTCTTAATTGATCAGAGATAATGTTTCACGAATAAAAAGACTCATCAAATTTCGAAAATCATATATTAATATAATGACATTATCCTCGTCAAAACTCTAATGAAATCAATGTTTGAACTTATTTTGATTCTGATGAAGAGAATAGAGAAACAAAATTCTCTTTTTGTTTCATTCTGCAACAAAAGTTCAATAGAGAGTAACATGAGATTTATTTAGTCAATTATGATAAACTAATAACTAGTTTGCATCTAATTACGAGCAAAGACAGAAGCTAATGACGGCTCAAGTAAATGCTCAATTATAATCAATTGATACAAAATTTCATTATCAATGAGCATTCACCTCAAACGAGACAAACTTTTAATGGAAAACAATTTTTTCAACTTTTCCTTTTCTCTTTTACTTTTGCACCTTTCATCAAGTCGATTGTACCAACCAACTCAGCAAAAAGCAACTCTTGCCAGACTAACGGGTTCATGAGCATTCCAAGTGAAACTTGCATCGAACAAGTTTAACCATTTTATTCACATTCAATTACTTTTTACTCCAACCTCATTTCACAACTTTTGGTCTTTTTGTTGTTCAACTTTGTATCATTTATTGAAAATGTTATACAAAATGAAAGGTTTTGAGAAGAAACAGTTTTTTTTCCTTCTCGCCTTTGCACAAGCGACCAACAATTCATCACACTGGGAGTGCAATCACTCCCATTGTTGATTATAATAATGAAAATAACATGATTTGTAAGAATCAGGTACTTATCAGTGTCTACAGAAGAAAAAGGTTACAAAAATAATGTTCTATCAGTGATGGAAAAAAATGATTCCAAAATCGTTAGCTCGAACATCATTAAAGAGAAAGGCACAACAGAAGCAAAAAAGAATGAATGAAAAGAGAAAATCGTTTTTTTCTCGACTCTTCGTTTTCTGTTATTTAAAACATTTTCTTCTTTTTTGGATAAAATTTCTTAATGATGTTGGTAAAAGTAAACTTTGTCTAGTTTCAGTTGCTTTAATAGCGATTTGATTAAATTTAAAATCTGAAAAGTGACACAAAAACCTTTACTAATTGACAATTTGTATTGAATCAGATTGTTTCCTAACTATTGGAAAAATAGTTTTTTGGAATTCAACTTTTCTATTAACTTTTTGATTTCAACTTTTGACTTTACTCATTTTCATTCACAATGGATTAACAGAACTTTTTGGTAATTTCTTGAACTGTTTGCCTCTCGATAAACACTTGGAATGAAACAGTTTCTTCTTTTGTTTAAATCAATTGAACTGATTTGTTGCCTTCTTTTTACATCAATTAAGTCTACTTGTTTGGGCTCGTTAAAGATCAATAACTGATTGACTCTGATTGATAATAATTGTAATACAATCATGTCCAATGATTATGTTGAAGGAATGAAAAGAGTTGCGCTCTTTGTGATACCTTGAAAGGGTAAACATTTTTCTTTTTTTCTCATTTTCTTTTCTACTCCGTTCAAGTCATTTAGATGAGTTGCAACAAAGTTTATTGATTCAATGTAAAGGCATGAGAGAAACTGATTAAGCTCAGAGTTTATCAACAAGGATCAATACAAGGATTAGATGAACTGAGTTGCCTCTTGTAAACGGAATCTCAATTTTAGCCAGTCTTTGGTTCCTTCATCTCTTTACCTAATCTTCACAAAAATATTTTTCATTTTCTATTCGCAACGAACTCTTGCCACTTCATCTGTCGCAAACTTTTCGAACAAACATTTTCGATTCAAAGAGATTCATTCCAAAAGTCAGATTCAAAGTGCAACTCGAGAAAAACAACGAAAAGAACAAATAGAATTTGGAAAACTTCTAAAATTTCGATTGATAATTTTTCTCGGTCTTTTTAGAACCCATTTATGATGCATTTTATGAAATCTTTCAGATTTTGAGCCAACTTTTGGAACGAATCTCGTGAAAATCGAATTTCAATTTTTGAAATTTTCCTTTTCTTTGTTCTTTCAGGTACAAAATGAAGATCAGAAGGATGACAGTAATGATGAAAAACGATCAAGATGAAGATTTGATTTTGATGGTGAAGAGCATAAAATAAAGATTAGAGAAGTTTAAAGTTACGAAAAATGTTGATTAGCGTTTCTCACTTTTAACCTGACTTGGCAAGTTGACAAAAGCTATTAAAGATCAATACTGAACATCTTGATTACAATGTTGAAAAGTTGATCAACTCTTAACCATCATTATCTACAAATGACAAAAGCAACAAATGGGACAAAAAGCATTTCCATCATTTACTTTTTACCCTGAAAACCCTGAAAAACTTGGAAAACTTGATCAAAGCTCAAAGTTAAATATTAAAGGGAAAAACATCATTTATTTCCAAATCTTTGAAAACTTTTCCTTGCCAGTGATTCCCTGGTTCAATCACTTAAACTTATTGTTACTATTAGTTAGTGTTAATGTTCATTTTCATGTCAATTTGGTCAATTTCCTTTTCTCAATTCAATCCAATTGTCCATAAAAGTTGATCTCAAAATTGAAACACTTGCCAAGTGGCCAACAGGGTAACGCAAAGGAACACAGATTAACTCGAAAATGAAAGAGTAAAAAAAGTCGAAACGAAAATGGCGGATAAAATTAAATCCTTTTCTCGATTCCATTTTTTGCTTCATCTAACTTCATCATTCAACTTGGTATGTCCAAGAAACAGATCAAAGTTGCAACAAAACTAATAGATTTCAACAGTCGAACTGACAATTGAATGTCAATCCAAGTATTAGCAGACATCAGCTGATGTTGACTTGTAACCTTTCATTTGACATGAATGGCCATCTTTTATCTTTCGTCTAATCTCGAGTTTCATTACAGCTTTACTTGGAAAAACATCAAAAACTGATTCTTGTTCTGGTTCAACATTTTTCATTGGCTTTGACCAAAAGTTTGGACAAAAAAGTTTAGTTAAAATGATAAACCTTTCATTCGTTTTTATCCACTTTTGGCACAGTTATTATTCATTGCAAGTCCAAACTCAGTCAGTTTTTCCGATAAAACTTCATATTCTTTTGCTTCCTTTTCCATCATCACAGTCATCATTGACCATCTCTTATCTCTTCATCTCACTCAATTTTCATCTTCATTATCATCAATTCTTATTTTTCCTTTTATTCCAATCCAAACATTCTCATGTTGCACAGGATGGGTGAGAAGGAAAAAAATTTCTCCTCTTGTTCTCTTGCTTCTATTTCGATATACCTTTTCTTTCTTGTTCACCTTTCCCTTTTCCGGTTTTGGATATTCTGATTGATGACAGGAAATTTTACTCAAACTTTTGCCTCTTGTTTATCATGAAATAATCCTCAACAAGATCAACTCCAAAAATCGAGTTTCACACTTTTCACCAAACTTTGCACTTCAACTCATAAATGTTTAATTGAAATGCAAAGTTTCTGTTTACTTAAAAGATTTAAATTGTTGCAACAAAAGGTCAACCTCTATTGTCTAAGTCGATTCATCAAGCGTGATTAAGTTCATTGATAGCGAAGAATCCGATTCTTGTTTATCCGTTCAAGAGTAAAAACTTTTCAACTCAAGTCTTCAAGTCAAATATCATGATTTGAGGTGAAAAAGGAAAACCAGCAAATTGGAAAATGGGAAATGAATGAATGAAGAACTTGAAAAGAATGAAAAGAAAACTTGCCCTTTAGCTATTGCCTTTTCTGTTTACCTTTCTTCACCTTTCATATTCTGTTCAATTCTGAATACAGAATGGCAATAAGCCGTTGTTGTTATTACAAAAGTAAACACGGTTCAATGATGGAATATAAAAAAGAGGAAAAAAAGATGAAAAAATTATCTTTCCATGGATAAAGGTTAAACAAAAGGTAGGAAAAAAGGTAAATTTTGAAAAATGTTTCTTCGTTTTCTCATGTTCCTTTGAAACTTTTTTTTCTCCTCTTTATTGTTTCTACTCGATGCTTCCATGCTTTAAGATGAATTGAATAGAGAGCAAAAAAAGAGTCGAAAAAGGTTGAGATTGAAAAAACAAAAAGTGTTCATCTGTTGTTTACAAAGTTCAATCATGATTGAGTCAAATAAATTGCAATCCAATCGACACGGAATGGAGAAAATAATTTGACAGGGAAGGAATAATATGTTTTCTTTACTGAAAAATGATATGAAAAATTGTTGTGAGAAAGGTTTCAATCGAAAAGGGATTGAAGAAAAAAAAAGTTTTGAAGAAAAAATCATTTTCGTTTTTGTAAAATGATGAATGATTTTCATGTTGAAACTGTTTCTTATAACCTGCTATTATGGGCTGAAATGAAGGTAAATTCAGAGTAAATTTTAAAGATATTAATTGAAAGGTTGAAATCAAGTCAAACAGAAGGTGATAAAAATGTGAAAACTCACCTCCATAAGCAAGGCATTTTAATTTCAAGCTTGTTCCTTCACCGTAAGATCCAAGTGATTCAACAATTTGATTTGTTTCATCTGCAATAATCACCTTTTTGGCTGGAACTTTGGTGTTGGGTTGAGATAAAGAGAGTGAGAGAAAAAAAGAGAAGAGAAAAAATGATGACAAATGATGATGGTGTTGGTGAAATGCCTTTTTCATCTTATTTGGCTTTTTTTCTTGTGCTTCCATTGCCATTTGTTTAACCCAAGAAACAAAAGTTTTAATGTTAATCTAGATTAATAAAGCTAATCATGCTGGGAAACTTTTCCCATTCATTTACAGTTTATATTCATCATCATTCCAATTATAATAGACAGCAGGGAAAATGGATGCCTTCTTTCAGAGTCTATCATGCTACATGAAGAGTCTAACTGGGACAGTTTAAATGAGGTTGACTGGTTTAACCCGTGAAATTTTATACTCTACTCAAGGGATTAGACAGTGGGTTGACAATGATTTGATTTGGTAACAGAAGATCACAAGCCAATGGAGCTTTAATAATCAGGTTGAGTTTCAATAAATGCACATTTTCCCAGTTGCTTTGGGTTGAATGTTTATTGGGATAATCGATGGTCATCAAGAGATCAAGTTTTTCATACGTTTCAGTATTATTTAAAATCGATTTTCACGATTTTTTTCAATCGATTTATGTTTATTCGATCTTTGATTTAATCGATTAATGAAAATTTTGAGATAATTTGCAATTCAGTTTGAAATTATTGTACTTACGATGGAGCTGCATGAAATGCTCGAGCCAGATTTGAAAGAGGTCGAATTAACGACTGGAAAATCGATCGAATTGAAAATAATTTTAGGTTAATAGAAATGTTCAAATTTATTATTGTTTTTTTTTGCACGAAAATGAGATGAGCAATATCGATTTTTATGAAAATCGTCGATATCGATCAATATTCAAATTCGTTCAGAGAAACCAATGATAATTTAGCAACGAAATCATCGATATTTTGATTTGGTCTAAATATCACGAGCCAAAATACTCAAGGTATGAATACTCTCTGTGTAATAAATATCGAGATCGATTTTCAAGGAAAATCGATTCAATCGGAGATTTGCAGTTTCATCATTGAATCATCTAATTATAACTTTGATTTAAACCGTTGAGCCTGGGAAACGGGATCAGCTTTATATTCGAGCGCATGACTTGTTGCTGTAAAATGATTTTGAACATTCAACTTTGAACCTTTGCTTTCAGTCAGGTGAACTCTAAATCTAATGAAAACGTATAGATATTTAAGCAGTTCATCTAATCAACCGTCAAAGTAACTGATATTTCTATCTCTACATTCGATCCAACAAATTGGTTCTCAAATTAATAGAAAGACTCTGAATTTTTCATTTCAACTTTGAATCAAACCTATTGTTTTGAAAGAGACAAAAAATCTTGTTTTCCCTGAAACGAACAAAATGTAATGTACAATGAAATCAACAAATAATCATCAACAATGAGCCAATCGATAAGATGTTCAACACCACAGATTATATCCAGAAAAGTTTCACCAAAATGCCAAAAGTTTAAAATCGATTCAAGATCAGCCCAAAAAATCGAGCAATTTTCAATTCAAGTGGACATTGCGGTCAAAATATGGTAAAATTGAAACATTGAAATCGCTATTGTGCATGTTCACTTAATGGATCAGTAAATTTACTTTGAATAAAATCATTGAGTGATGAAAATGTTTAAACAGAAGCAGCAAAAATGTAAAATGACTTGCTACAGATTAAAGGCTCAACAAACTGGAATGAAAATATTGAATTGAAAAGTGTTAATGAAAATAACTTCAACTCTTGGGAGTGAAAAAAAACAAATGAAAAGTCAAAATAATCTGGAGACAACCTTGACAAGAAAAGGACAAGAAAAGTAATGCATTTCAAATGCAAATATTTGCTCAACGACAAACACGTTGACAAGCAGAAACGTTGATAAATATAATTGGCATCATTAGAACAATCGAGCAGAAAAAAAATGTTATCCAATTTTTCGAGTTACACAATTTCATTCATTAACATCAAATTATCGTCAACATGAAAGGTGCACAAAATGCCATAAGTGTCAGCATTAGCCCTCCATTATGATGCATCTTCATCTCATTTCCTCTCTTCCCAACCCTCTTTATCATGAATATTTTTTTCTTTCAACTTTTTTCTTCTCACAGCCGACCGTTTGTCCTTTTGCAATTGTTTGAATGATCAGTGTGAAAAGGGCTTGAAGCTACTTAAAATGATTTACTCAACTGGAAAAGATTTAATTTGCTTAATGAGCCTTTATTCGGTTGACTGATTGTAATGAAAAAAACGACGAAAATCCAGTTTCAAGATTCATTCCCTGTTTGGAGTTTTTTTTTCTCAATTCACTTTTCACTCACAAAAAGAGCAGACAAAAAAAGAGATTCACAAAAGTTTCATGATCATCATCTTTGGAATAGGAAGTGAAAAATTTTGTTAATTGATCAATTCAACTCTATTCCATTTGGAAGGAACCTTTTCATTCCCAGTTCACCATGAAAATTGAAAAGTTTGACAAGTCAAGAGTTTATTGAGAAAGAAAAGATTCATTTTTTTGCTTTTTTTCTCCTTTCCTTCAGAATCTTGATGCTCGTTACAAGTTTCATTGGCATCAAATTGACTCGCGACTGTCTGTTGCTTCAACTTTTTTATTGTTGACATTTGATTGTTGATGCTTCCAATTGTCTGTTGCTCTTTCAATTTATGATTATTGCTTGTACAATTTTGGAAATTGATGGTCAAAAGAAAAGTCTTTTTTTTGCTTTTCCTTCTGTCCATTCAATTCAATTCATTCTTTTAAACTCTTTTCCTTTCCATTTAATAAAGTGATACAAAAGTTTAACTTTAATTTGCTCTACATGGCAAGGCTAATCAATCATCAACCATCAACTCGCATCCAATCGATTAGATTTAAAGTTGAAAATTAGAGTAATTATCAGAATGTGCGCTGGGAGTGAACACTTTTTACTCCCAGTAAATATTCTTGAGAGTTTCCATATTATCCACTTTTGCAACATTAAACTTTGCCCATTCACTAATCATGAGCAGCCAATTATACTGATGGCTTACAATATCAATTTCAATCATTTCATGAAAAGTTTTCAGTTTTCATTTTTTACTCCGTTAAGCTTGAAAATGGATTTGTTTTTCGTTGATTAAGGTGCTTTCTCAGGTTAGTCTAATGATGATGAAGGTTAAGAAGTTAAGTAAACTCGTTGAAACTCTTGATTTGATGGAAAAGTGAAAGGACAGAAAAAGTTTTTTAGTTGTTCATTCATCATGAAATGGAAAACTTTCGTCATTTGCCCTTTCGTCTCAGGTAAACGCTTTCGACGTCAATTTTGGCTCATTTTTTTCGAGCAATTTTCTGACTTGCAATGATAATGACTTAAAAAGTTTCACTCATGAAATTAAAAGCTGAATGGGTTTAACTCATCATTTTTTTGCTGCAAAAGTAAACTTATAGTGCTTACTTTGCTTTTACAGTTTTCATCATTAGCTTTCCTTGTTTAACATGATTAAGTTTTACATTTCGTTACGTTTCTCTTTTCAAATGGTTATTAAACTCGGTAAATCTTATTAGATGAACATTATAATAAAGACCTTGAATTGAGGTGAACTTCATTTTTCAGTTATTAATAGAAGAAAAACAAAAAAATCCTTTTTTCTTTTTTCAGTGTTTTCACTTTTGGAATTATTTATCAGATTACTCTTGAACCTTACATGATAGAAACATGGAAACAATGTTATCAATCAATGTTTACAAGATTAAATGTCACTCTCAAACGTGATGGCTGCAAGAAAATGTTGCTGGTTGAATGAAATATTGCATTTTCACAGTAATTAAAATCTATTAGATTCATGATCACCAGCAAAAGAAAATGTTGAAATTAAAAAATTAGACAAAATTTTATTGTACAACATCGACTAAGTACAAATTCAGCCAGTTTCAAAAGGATGAGGTCAGATTCAATAGAGTTTGCCTTCTTTCCAATTTGCATGAAAATTCGTCTGATGATAGAACACATTTAGTTCGCCAAAATTGTCCGAAAGATTTTCGATGTATGTTTCTCATTAAAATCGATTTCATGCATATTCTAAAATCTGATTCAGAATATTTCGCTAGTTAACTTTACCACAAAAATGAGCTAAACGTATACGCTTGATAACAAAGCTACATGATGCAACAACTTTTCGTTGCAACATCTTTCTCTTGACATTTAATATTGAAAAATTTCCATCAGACTTTGTTTCTAAGAAACGAGTTGCTCTCTTAGTCTTGGCAATGAAACAGGACTGGAATGAGTCTGGGAATGAAAGAGTAAAAAAATTGGTTGGAAAAAGTTTCTTCACATTTACTTTAATGTACACTCTAATCCATCATGAGTAATCCTAATCAACTTCATCATCATCATTATCATCATCAATTCATGAGTGATTACATCTATTGAAAAAGTAGCACAAAGTAAATGAATAGAAGAACCAAGAGAAGAAGAAAAAAACGAAATGAGACGAAAAAAGAATGAAAGGTAAAAAAGATTTTCTCTTTTCATCACCTTGTTTTTCATGACAAATCAATGTTTAATAATCATCATTATCATTGATAAAAATTACAGACCAATGTTCAAAATCCTTTTCGTCTCCTTGTTTTGCCTCGAAGTTTACCAACAAAAAGCAAGTTCAACTTTTGATTCGAAACTTAAAAGTGAAATCCGACAATCAATCAACATCCATCAATACTGGAACTAATCATTTGAGAATGAAAATGAAAGCAAAGAAATTCCATCAAAGGAAAAAACACAAAAAATCAACCTTTACTGAACCTCGAAGAATTTGATTTTTCCTCAAAATTGTTGGTTTCATGATACCGTTCAAACCAAAGTAAACTTTTAAAAAGACATTATCTCCATGCAATTACACTGTAAATACTTGAACCTCTAATTATAATAAATGTTTGACAGAAATTGAATTAAAGAAGAAAGAAAAAATTCTCATCATTTTCTCATTTCATGATGAAATGTAAACAATTGGAAAAGAT